AGCCGCCGAGTCCCGGATATATATAGGAACTATAGGAACGTGCTAAAATGTGTCCTTGAGGACTAGAGACACCATCCAAGCTCCAGCATGTAATGGCACGTGTACTTGGGTCAAAGTGGTAATGCGGAGGGTTGGACAGGACATGAAGCTGTTCATACCTAAGAGATCGAGGATGTATCATAGGTCTGCAGAGTTCTGGTTCAGGACCGGCAGCAACCGGAATACCCACCAAAGGGATAAGGTCGCCTCGACAGTACCTGAGGCCAACGCCAGCCACAATGACCCTCGGGGAGGACCGACCATACAGGCCCAACCCCCAAGTACAGGGGAGGAACAGACCAGCTCCACCGAAGGCCTTGGGAAACAGCCAAAAAAGCCCACAAATATTTGGACCAAGAGCCGGCAAAAAAGAGCCAGATGCCCCCTTCCTTACCATATAAGCATCAATCTTACCTTGAGGTGTTTTCGGGGCTTAGTGTTCCTGCGGCCCGGTCGTCGACCAGGCCTCTCAGTTGCTGGACTGGTCGACCAGGCTGTTGGACGCGGCTGCTCGTAGCCTAACATATGAGTCACAGCCTGGTTGATCAGGTATCCTTTAGAGGTGCTTGTGAAGTTCTCTCTTAAGCACTGTGAGGGATCGGCCAGGTATGCCCCTTATGTGCAGTGGAAGCGTGTTGAACAGTCTCGGACCTCTGATGTTGATAGTTCTCTCTCAGAGTATGTGTACTTGGACCATGTACATATAGGTATGTATACGTACATCAAAGGGACATACTGTGTAAGAGTTGACATAAACTGAGCTGTACTATATTTTGTGATGCTTGACTGACATTGAGCAGAGGAGAAAGCTTTCTCGAGCACCACAACGGTCTGGGAATCTAACCCCACCCGAGGACCTACCCTGATCATCAACAGGTGAGGTCGTCACCTGACCAGACCACCTCCAAAACGGAACAGAATCCCAAGAGAACAACAACTGATCATTAGATTGGCAGGACAAAGCTGCTGTGGAAACAACCTGAGCAACGACCTCCAGAAAGAGTACAGGAGAAAAGGAGGCATCCAAAGGAATAAGAGTCCAAAGAATGAGCCAAGACACAAGACAGGTAAAATAAAATGCCAACACTCTCTCCCGAAGGAGAGGAGTAAGTAATTATCAAAAGAAGGCACCAAGCCGGGAAGGCTATGTAGCACCATCAAATGTGCGGAATAATCATTGGGCGCTAAATATCACCAAGGATGCCAATATGAGAACAGAAACGCATAAAACGAATGATATCAAAAGTATCCGATTCACCAAGAATTCTACAAGTGACTGCAGGGGACGGTCGGAAAGCAAGACACACGCTCGTCCTGGAAGTCAGGACAGTCAACAAGGATATGCACGACTGCAAGAGGAACAAGGCAGTTTGGACAATAAGAAGCAGGGTGGCGCTCCATTAAGAGTACATGAGTTAAGCGTGCATGGCCAATACACATCCACGCCAGAGCCGATTTCCACCGCCAGTTACAGCGGTAGGAAGAAGGCCACGGGGGAGACACTACTCTTAAGAGTACGCAGTTTGTTACCAGTAACAGAAGACCAACAACCCTGCCAAGGATGGAGGAATGAATAACTGGGTAAAAGTTGGAATAAGGAATACCTTTACGGGAGATGGGATAAGTGTGGATAGCTTCCTTAGCGACAGTGTCTGCACGCTCATTTAAAGAGACACCAATATGGCTGGGAAGCCAGCAAAATTCCACTGTCTTAAATCTACTGGAGATAAGAAACAGCCAATGTTGAATTTTGACTTCCACTGGATGGACTGGATTAAAGGACTCCAGAACTATGAAGGCACTGTGAGAGTCGACTACAACTACAAAGGAGGATTGACAGCGAGAAAGCGGTCAAGGATTTACAAAATTTAGGAAGGGGGACGCTCCACGGGGGCAAGGATGGGACAACACAAGGAGAAATATTAGTAATACTAACCGAAAGAGAATTTTGCAGCCGAGACAACCGAACAGAAAGAGGGAGATGGTGAAGAGGATCAGGGACTATAGGAGGGGTAAAAGTCAAAGCACGACTCAGGCGAGAGTGAGGAAAGGACTGCGCAAGGTAGTGAAGACAGTAGCGATCACGGCGGTCCTGGAGAGACAGGAAGCCAGTGTCAACATACAAGCTGAGGGTAGGAGTCGAACGAAAGGCACCAGAGCTGAGGCACAACCCAGTATGGTGCAAAGCATCAAGACGGAGAAGAGTAGGAGAAGCAGACAAGTATGCAGGGCAACCATAATCGAATTCAGAGAGTACGAGAGAGGAATAGAAAGTGAGGAGTACGCGCCTATCTGCTCCCCAAGAAGTATGGGACAAAGCCTTAAGTAGGTTAAGGGCCTTAGAGCATTCAACCTAGAGGTAAGAGATATGGGCTGACCAAGACAAACTAGTGTCAAAGATTAAACCCAAAAGCTTAGCGGAATCTTTGTACACAAGGGGATGACCATAAAGTGACAAAGAGGGACGAAGTGACAAAGAGGGACGAAGCTTTGATTGGTGGCCCAAGACGACACGGCATCAATTGCAAGTTGAAGCCGTCGTTCAAGGAGAGGCAAATCATCACCCTGACAACACAGGGTAAGATCGTCGACATAGAAAGCAGAGAAGACCTTAGAAGGAAGGGAGAAAAGAGACCATTGAGGGCAACCAGAAAAAGAGTAGTGCTCAGAATACTACTTTGGGGTACACCTTCGTATTGCCAAAAAGAGGCAGAGAGAGCGGTACCAAGCCTCACTCTAAAGGAACAATGAGAGACGAAGCTTTGGAGGAAGAGAGGGAGATTACCACGAAGGCCAAAAGAATGAAGTTGAGACAGAATATGATATCTCCAGGTGGTGTTGTAAGCCTTTTCCAGGTCCAAAGAGACAACAACAACGGAGGTCTTCGCAGCAAAAGCAGTACGAATATAGTCCTCCAAGTTCACCAGGACATCAGTCGTGAAGCGGCACTTGTGAAAATGAAACTGAGAAGGAGAGGTGGTGATAGTGTTCTAAGAACCACATCAGACGAACGTTAACCATACATTCAAAGAGTTTGCAGACAACTCGTGAGGGCAATAGGGCAGAAGTTCTTAGGGGATGTCCCAAGAGACCCTGGTTTCAGAATAGGGAGTACAACGGCATCGAGCCAGTCCTCAGGGACTGACGACGACTCCCAAACCCGGTTATACAGATTCAGTAAAAACTGAGATGCGCATGGAGGGAGATGGCGAAGCATCTCATAATGAATGTCATCCGAGTCCGCTGCCATAGAACTGCAGATGGCCAGGGCAGACTGAAGTCCAGAGAGAGAGAGAAGCACTCGTTATAGGAAAATCGGAGACGAGTGCGGGAAATCTAAGGGCAGATGAGAGTCAAGAACGGGCTAACGTAGAAGGAAGGATTGAGGAAGATGAGAACCAAAGCTAACAGTAGAAAAGTGAGTAACCAGTTCAGTCATGACCAGTACTGGGTCTACCACAAGATGACCAGTACTGGGTCTACCACAAGATGACCAGTACTGGGTCTACCACAAGATGACCAGTACTGGGTCTACCACAAGATGACCAGTACTGGGTCTACCACAAGATGACCAGTACTGGGTCTACCACAAGATGACCAGTACTGGGTCTACCACAAGATGACCAGTACTGGGTCTACCACAAGATGACCAGTACTGGGTCTACCACAAGATGACCAGTACTGGGTCTACCACAAGATGACCAGTACTGGGTCTACCACAAGATGACCAGTACTGGGTCTACCACAAGAGTACCACGGAGGTGAAGGACTGGTGAGACATCTGGAACGAACTTACCCACTATCTTGCGGATTTTCTTCCAGATCTGCGACAGAGGAGTATCGGACATAATGTTGGAAACATAAAATTTTCCAAATCTCACGTTTAGCTGTATGGATGGTCCGAGCCACTGCATTGGCCTTCCGAAACAAAAAAAAAGAATCAGCCGTCTGCCGGCGTCAGTGTTTCTTCCAGGCTGCACGCTTACAACGGACAGCTCGAGCACAGTTCACATTCCACCAGGGAACGCATTTTCGTGTGCCCTGGGAGGTAGAGCAAGGAATAGAGCGGAGGGCAGTGTCGAAGATGGTGTCAAGAAAAAGGAGGAGGGCGCGAGGGAGAGGCAGAGTGGAGAAGTCAGAGAGAGTAGCACCGAGGATGAATTGGTTCCAGTCAGCCTTTAGTAAACTGCCACCAAGGGAGGAGAGAAGGGGTAAGCATCGCATGACTGTCAAGTCCAGAACTGTAGGCTGCATGGTCTCCACCCTTGGAGTGGACCCCAGCAACACCACATCCTTACAGAGATGCTCGGAGAGCCCCTATACGATGACCCATACAAGCAAAATCGCCGCCAGGGGCAAACGCCATGTACAGATACATAGAGCTGCTGCTTGCCCACATCCTTGGAAAACACCAGAGCAAACAGACAGCTTGGATGTGGAGCAAAGGAGGCCCCAGTCAGGAACACCTGAAAGACAGATCTTATCTCCCGCCATTCAAGTGTGCAGGTCCGACCGAACCCTTGCAAAGACCCCAAGGAAAGGAGAGGATTGTCAGCTAGCTAGGATATACCAGAGACCTCAAACCGCAACCAATAAGAAGAGGAAGACCTCGTACTTGTAGCAGGCCGGATCCATCATGGGAAAAGGGAGCCCTGTTCAGTAGGAGATACGAAAGCAACTCTGTGTAGACCACAGAAGGCACACTGCAGGAGGACGGAAACCTCCAGATAAATGACTAACTCCAGGGCCCCGAATGGGACTTGGAACCAAGTGAGGCTTGTGAACACATTCCCACCCTTAACCTCCGCGAGCAGGGCAGCTCTCACGCGCTGAGACGGATCGCACACACCTCACCTGGCCAGGTGGTCTCGCACGGTCTACGTCGCCGATTTCACTACTATTGGCGTGTGTGTGGGTGTTGATGTTTGGGGGGTGTAAAGGGTCTGGGGCAAGTATCTTACCTTCTCTGTGGTTGAAGAGATCCCTGAGAGCCATCACAGTCAGAGTGAAGGCAGCAGTTGCCACCACTAGCTGCCATCTCTGGAAGCCGTCCACGCTGCTCTCCACCTCCTCCTCCAGCCCTGTAATAAGCCAGTCATGTAACGAGGATTGTATTCTTCCACTCACCGACACTCTCTGTGTTCACGCGATATTGAACACTTTCTCGGCTCAGAAACTCTAGTAAACTCTATGTTTATTTCTGTTCACCAGATGTTTTCTCGGCGGTGTTATGGCACTCAGTTGTAGGGAACAGGAAGCTTGCAAGCGCATCGCAACCCGTCCTCTTAATAATTACGTCGCTTTTCGCTCGTAGGCACACTACAGCTAAAAACGAACGTACTAGTAAATGGAAGCGACCGACGAAAGTGACGTACAGTCCCGTTTTCTGTTTTGGGTCCTCTGGCTTAGGTTGTTAGGTTAGCAGAGGAAACATTCAATTAACGGTTTTAATGCCATTATGGAGCCTTAGGAGAACTTCCTGCCCTCCTAACTTGCCACAGGACCCAAAATTTACTATTTTGGGACCATTTAATTTCGAAAATGAATTTTTAACCGAAGAGCGAAACGCTACATAATTTTCAAGAGGACGATCTGACCCTACAAGTCATCGAACACCCAGGTACTAATAAGCTCCTGGGTGAACAGGTACATCAGGTGTAGGTAGGGTTAGCAAGCGTGCCGAAACATATTTTAAATATTCGAGTTTTTAGGTGACGACATTCAGAGTTTCTTTGTTTATATGATATTTTAACATAATCTTGGGAACACCTGACGGATGTCAAGCTGGTGGGGCCAGGGTGGATGTCAAGCTGGTGGGGTCAGGGAGGTTGTCAAGCTGGTGGGGTCAGGGAGGTTGTCAAGCTGGTGGGGTCAGGGTGGATGTCAAGCTGGTGGGGTCAGGGAGGTTGTCAAGCTGGTGGGGTCAGGGAGGTTGTCAAGCTGGTGGGGTCAGGGAGGTTGTCAAGCTGGTGGGGTCAGGGTGGATGTCAAGCTGGTGGGGTCAGGGTGGATGTCAAGCTGGTGGGGTCAGGGTGGATGTCAAGCTGGTGGGGTCAGGGTGGATGTCAAGCTGGTGGGGTCAGGGTGGTTGTCAAGCTGGTGGGGTCAGGGTGGTTGTCAAGCTGGTGGGGTCAGGGAGGTGGTGTCAAGCAAGCTGGTGGGGTCAGGGTGGATGTCAAGCTGGTGGGGTCAGGGTGGATGTCAAGCTGGTGGGGTCAGGGAGGTTGTCAAGCTGGTGGGGTCAGGGTGGATGTCAAGCTGGTGGGGTCAGGGAGGTTGTCAAGCTGGTGGGGTCAGGGAGGTTGTCAAGCTGGTGGGGTCAGGGAGGTTGTCAAGCTGGTGGGGTCAGGGTGGATGTCAAGCTGGTGGGTCAGGGTGGATGTCAAGCTGGTGGGGTCAGGGAGGTTGTCAAGCTGGTGGGGTCAGGGAGGTTGTCAAGTTGGTGGGGTCAGGGAGGTTGTCAAGCTGGTGGGGTCAGGGTGGATGTCAAGCTGGTGGGGTCAGGGTGGATGTCAAGCTGGTGGGGTCATGGAGGTTGTCAAGCTGGTGGGGTCAGGGAGGTTGTCAAGCTGGTGGGGTCAGGGAGGTTGTCAGGGAGGTTGTCAAGCTGGTGGGGTCAGGGAGGTTGTCAAGCTGGTGGGGTCAGGGAGGTTGTCAAGCTGGTGGGGTCAGGGAGGTTGTCAAGCTGGTGGGGTCAGGGGGTTGTCAAGCTGGTGGGGGGTGGATTGTCAAGCTCAGGGGGGTGGATGTCAAGCTGGTGGGGTCAGGGAGGTTGTCAAGCTGGTGGGGTCAGGGTGGATGTCAAGCTGGTGGGGTCCAGGGAGGTTGTCAAGCTGGTGGGGTCAGGGAGGTTGTCAAGCTGGTGGGGTCAGGGAGGTTGTCAAGCTGGTGGGGTCAGGGTGGATGTCAAGCTGGTGGGGTCAGGGTGGATGTCAAGCTGGTGGGTCAGGGAGGTTGTCAAGCTGGTGGGGTCAGGGAGGTTGTCAAGTTGGTGGGGTCAGGGAGGTTGTCAAGCTGGTGGGGTCAGGGTGGATGTCAAGCTGGTGGGGTCAGGGAGGATGTCAAGCTGGTGGGGTCAGGGAGGTTGTCAAGCTGGTGGGGTCACACAACTACACCACAACAACCACACCACAACCACAACAACAACAACACTACACACACAACCACAACCACCACAACAACAACCACACACAACAACCACACACTACACACACCACAACCACAACACACACACAACACCACAACCACAACACCACAACACAACACCACACACACCACACCACAACCACAACAACACACACACAACACACCACAACAACAACCACAACACCACAACAACCACACCACAATAACCACACAAACACAACCACACACACCAACCACCACAACAACACACACCAACAACCACACAACACACCACACCACCACACCACAACAACACAACAACAACACACACCACAACAACCACACCACAACAACCACAACAACCACCACACCACAACCACACCACAACAACCACACCACAACAACCACACAACCACCACACCACACAACCACCACCACAACAACACACAACACCACCACACCACAACACCACAACACACACCACCACAACAACCACAACACACAACAACAACCACACCACAACCACAACAACCACCACACCACAACCACCACAACCACAACACCACAACAACAACACCACAACAACCACACCTCACACCACAACACACACCACAACCACCACACCACCACAACACCACACACACACAACACCACCACAACAACCACAACAACCACCACACCACAACAACAACCACCACCACCACAACAACCACACCACACAACAACCACAACACCACCACAACAACACACCACAACACCACACCACAACAACCACCACAACCACCACACACCACACCAACACACCACACACAACAACAACACCACACACCACAACACACCACAACCACACAACACACCACACACCACAACACCACACACAACACCACCACCACAACAACACACACCACCACACCACACCACAACAACCACACAACACCACCACAACAACAACACCACAACAACCACAACACACCACAACAACAACCACCACACAACCACAACCACACCACCACAACAACCACACAACCACCCACACAACAACACACACAAACAACCACACCACCACAACCACACACAACACACACAACAACAACAACACACCACAACAACCAACAACCACAACCACCACAACACCAACCACCACACCACACCACACCACACACCACAACAACCACACCACAACCACCACAACAACAACCACACCACCACAACCACACCACCACCCACAACAACACACACCACAACAACCACACACAACAACACACCACAACACCACCACCACAACACCACAACCACCACAACCACAACACAACACCACAACAACACCACCACCACCACAACAACAACCACCAACAACCACACCACACAACCACCACACCACAACAACCACCACACCACCACAACAACAACACACCACCACAACAACCACAACACCACCACAACAACAACACACAACACAACCACACACCACACCACCACACCACCACAACACCACCACAACAACCACACCACAACACCACCCACAACCACCACAACACAACCACCCACACCACACACCACAACACCACCACAACACACACCACACAACCACACCACAACACCACACCACAACAACCACAACACCACCACAACAACCACCCACAACAACACACCACCACAACCACCACCACAACAACCACACCACAACAACCACACCACCACACACAACCACACCACAACACACACCACAACAACAACACACACACCACCACCACAACCACCACCACCACAACCACAACACACACACACCACCACAACAACAACCACCACAACAACCACCACACCCACAACCACACACACACCACAACAACCACACACCCACAACAACCACACCACACAACCACAACAACAACACCACACCACAACCACCACCACAACACCACACACAACCACACACCACCACACCACCACCACAACACCACCACCACAACCACACCTCAACAACAACACACACAACAACCACACCACAACAACCACAACACACCACACAACAACCACACCACAACACAACACACCACAACAACAACCACACCACAACAACCACCACAACACCACACACCACACACAACAACAACACCACAACACCACAACACCACACACCACAACAACCACCACACACACCACCCACAACAACCACAACACCACCACAACACCACCACAACAACCACACCACAACAACACACCACCACAACAACCACAACAACCACCACAACACCACCACAACAACCACACAACACCACCACAACCACCACAACAACCACCACACACCACAACACACACCACAACACAACCACACCACAACAACAACAACCACCACAACAACCACCACAACACCACAACAACAACAACAACAACCACAACACCACCACAACCACCACAACACACCACAACAACACACCACACACACACCACCACCACAACAACCACAACACCACCACAACACACCACAACCACCACCACCACAACCACCACCACACACAACCACACCACCACCACACACCACACACCACACACACACACCACCACACCCACAACACCACAAACAACCACAACACAACAACCACACCACCACCACACCACCACAACACCACAACAACCACACACCACAACACACCACCACAACACACAACACCACAACAACACACCACACACCACCACAACACACCACAACACCACCACAACAACCACACCACCACCACAACAAACCACCACCACAACCACACACAACAACCACACACCACCACAACACCACAACACCACACCACAACCACAACCACCACAACCACACCACAACAACACCACCACACCACAACACAACACACCACAACAACACCACCACCACCACAACAACCACACACCACAACCACACCACACCACCACACACACAACAACACCACCACAACAACACACCACAACAACACCACCACAACAACCACACCACACCACACACCACCACCACAACACAACCACACCACCACACAACAACACACACCACAACCACACCACAACAACCACCACACCACCACAACAACCACCACACCACAACAACCACCACAACCACAACACACACACACCACAACACAACAACACCCACCACAACAACCACACCACACCACACCACCACACAACCACAACACCACACCACACAACACCACACACAACCACACACCACCACACACAACCACACCACACAACACCACCACAACAACCACAACAACCACAACCACACCACAACAACACACCACACAACCACCACACCACAACACCACAACCACACAACACCACACCACAACACAACACACCACAACAACCACCACCACAACACCACACCACACCACAACAACAACACAACACAACCACAACACCACAACAACAACAACCAACAACACCACCACACAACCACACACACCACCACAACACACACCACACCACAACCACACAACACTACACACAACAACACCACAACCACAACCCACCACACCACCACAACAACACACACACAACCACAACACACCACCACAACACCACAACAACCACAACACACACCACAACAACCACACCACCACCACACACCACCACAACACACAACAACCACCACAACAACCACACACACCACAACACCACCACACCACACCACAACCACAACCACAACAACACCACCACCACCACAACAACCACACAACACCACAACACCCACACAACAACACACCACAACAACCACCACAACACCACCACAACACAACAACAACCACCACACCACACAACAACAACACACAACACCACAACAACACCACACACAACAACCACAACAACCACAACAACACAACACCACAACACCACAACCACAACAACAACACACCACAACAACACCACAACACAACACAACACACCACACACAACCACAACAACACCACCACAACAACACACCACCACACACCACCCACAACACACACCACAACAACACCACAACACACCACAACACCACAACAACACCACAACCACCACAACACCACCACAACACCACCACAACAACCACAACACCACCACCACAACAACCACACAACAACACCACACAACACCACCACACCACCACCACAACAACCACACACACCACAACCACCACACACAACAACCACACCACCACAACAACACCACCACAACAACCACACCACACAACAACCACCACACCACAACAACACCACAACAACCACCACAACACCACACCACCACCACAACAACCACACACAACAACACCACACAACCACACCACACACCACACCACACCACACCACAACACAACCACACCACAACAACCACACCACACAACCACACCACAACAACCACAACACAACAACCACACACAACCACACCACACAACACCACCACAACCACACCACAACCACACACACACAACCACCACAACACACCACAACACACCACAACCACCACACCACCACAACACACCACAACACACACAACAACCACACCACAACAACCACACCACAACAACCACAACCACAACAACACCACCACCACCACAACAACACCACAACACCACACCACACCACAACAACACACAACACACACACACAACACCACCACAACAACCACACCACAACAACCACACCACAACAACCACACCACAACAACCACCACACAACAACAACACCACACCACAACAACCACACACCACCACAACCACCACACAACACACACAACACACACAACAACCACACCACACAACCACAACACAACAACCACACCACCACAACAACACCACAACACCACAACCACAACAACCACACAACCACACACACCACCACCACACACCACACACAACCCACAAACAACACACACAACAACACCACACAACACCACCACCACCACAACAACCACACCACCACAACAACACCACAACACCACAACAACAACAACCACAACAACCACAACAACCACAACCACACCACAACAACAACCACACCACAACAACACCACACAACACCACCACAACACCACAACCACAACCACCACACCACACAACCACCACCACAACACAACACACCACACCACAACCACAACCACAACAACCACACCACAACAACCACAACACAACAACAACACCACAACACCACCACACCACAACAACCACACCACAACAACCACCTCCACAACAACCACACCTCAACAACAACACCACAACAACAACACCACAACAACCACACCTCAACAACAACACCACAACAACACACACACACACCACCAACCACCACAACAACCACACCACAACACCACCACACCACCACCACCACACCACAACAACCACACCACCACAACAACCACACTGATGATGGTGATGTTGTCTCACACGGGTGATGGTGATGTTGTCTCACACTGGTGATGGTGATGTTGTCTCACACTGGTGATGGTGATGTTGTCTCACACTGGTGATGGTGATGTTGTCTCACACTGGTGATGGTGATGTTGTCTCACACTGGTGATGGTGATGTTGTCTCACACTGGTGATGGTGATGTTGTCTCACACTGATGATGGTGATGTTGTCTCACACGGGTGATGGTGATGTTGTCTCACACTGGTGATGGTGATGTTGTCTCACACTGGTGATGGTGATGTTGTCTCACACTGGTGATGGTGATGTTGTCTCACACTGGTGATGGTGATGTTGTCTCACACTGGTGATGGTGATGTTGTCTCACACTGGTGATGGTGATGTTGTCTCACACTGGTGATGGTGATGTTGTCTCACACTGGTGATGGTGATGTTGTCTCACACTGGTGATGGTGATGTTGTCTCACACTGGTGATGGTGATGTTGTGATATCACACTTACATTTCAGCATTAGATGAACGTTCTCCATCGCCAAGGAACACGTAGCATGGAACACTTGTGTCAAGGAACAAGGAACACCTGCGTCAAGGAACGCAGAGCAACTGTGTCAAGGAACACGGAACACCACTCCCGGGAGCACTACAGGTGTTGGTGGTGTACGAGGTGGCGGCAGTGTGGTACTGAACGTCTCCGGCGCCCCCCAACGCTACTTACCTCACTGATAACGTTCCGTACTTCGTCCCCTTTGTTCCCTGGCCCGTCAGGTGTTTTACCTGGGCCTCATGTGTGTTCCCTTGGCCTCATGTGTGTTCCCTGGCCCTCGCGTGTGTTCCCTGGCCCTCGCGTGTGTTCCCTGGCCCTCGCGTGTGTTCCCTGGCCCTCACGTGTGTTCCCTGGCCCTCACGTGTGTTCCCTGGCCCTCACGTGTGTTCCCTGGCCCTCACGTGTGTTCCCTGGGCCTCACGTGTGTTCCCTGGCCCTCACGTGTGTTCCCTGGCCCTCACGTGTGTTTCCAGGCCCTCACGTGTGTTCCCTGGCCCTCACGTGTGTTCCCTGGGCCTCACGTGTGTTCCCTGGCCCTCACGTGTGTTCCCTGGCCCTCACGTGTGTTCCCTGGCCCTCACGTGTGTTCCCAGGCCCTCACGTGTGTTCCCTGGCCCTCGTGTGTGTTCACTGGCCCTCATGTGTGTTCCCTGACCCGTCACGCGTGTTCCCTGGCCCTCATGTGTGTTACCTGGCCCTCGTGTGTGTTCCCTGGCCCTCACGTGTGTTCCCTGGCCCTCATGTGTGTTCCCTGGCCCTCACGTGTGTTCCCTGGCCCTCACGTGTGTTCCCTGGCCCTCACGTGTGTTCCCTGGCCCTCACGTGTGTTCCCTGGCCCTCATGTGTGTTTCCAGGCCCTCACGTGTATTCCCTGGCCCTCGTGTGTGTTCACTGGCCCTCATGTGTGTTCCCTGACCCGTCACGCGTGTTCCCTGGCCCTCATGTGTGTTCCCTGGCCCTCACGTGTATTCCCTGGCCCTCGTGTGTGTTCCCTGGCCCTCATGTGTGTTCCCTGGCCCTCGTGTGTGTTCCCTGGCCTTCGTGTGTGTTCCCTGGCCCTCGTGTGTGTTCCCTGGCCCTCGTGTGTGTTCCCTGGCCCTCACGTGTGTTCTCTGACCCGTCACGTGTGTTCCCTGGCCCTCACGTGTGTTCCCTGGCCCTCACGTGTGTTCCCTGGCCCTCACGTGTGTTCCCTGGCCCTCATGTGTGTTCCCTGGCCCTCATGTGTGTTCTCTGACCCGTCACGTGTGTTCCCTGGCCCTCACGTGTGTTCCCTGGCCCTCACGTGTGTTCCCTGGCCCTCGTGTGTGTTCCCTGGCCCTCGTGTGTGTTCCCTGGCCCTCATGTGTGTTCTCTGACCCGTCACGTGTGTTCCCTGGCCCTCACGTGTGTTCCCTGGCCCTCACGTGTGTTCCCTGGCCCTTATGTGTGTTCTCTGACCAGTCACGTGTGTTCCCTGGCCCTCACGTGTGTTCCCTGGCCCTCACGTGTGTTCCCTGGCCCTCGTGTGTGTTCCCTGGCCCTAATGTGTGTTCCCTGACCCGTGACGTGTGTTCCCTGGCCCTCGTGTGTGTTCCCTGGCCCTCATGTGTGTTCCCTGACCCGTGACGTGTGTTCCCTGGCCCTCATGTGTGTTCCCTGGCCCTCATGTGTGTTCCCTGGCCCTCGTGTGTGTTCCCTGGCCCTCGTGTGTGTTCTCTGACCCGTCACGTGTGTTCGCTGGCCCTCACGTGTGTTCCCTGGCGCTCACGTGTGTTCCCAGACCCTCATGTGTGTTCCCTGGCCCTCGTGTGTGTTCCCTGGCCATCATGTGTGATCCCTGGCCCTCACGTGTGTTCCCTGGCCCTCACGTGTGTTCCCTGACCCGGCACGTGTGTTCCCTGACCCGGCACGTGTGTCCCCTGGCCCTCACGTGTGTTCCCAGACCCTCACGTGTGTTCCCTGGCCCTCATGTGTGTTCCCTGGCCCTCGTGTGTGTTCCCTGGCCCTCATGTGTGTTCTCTGACCCGTCACGCGTGTTCCCTGGCCCTCACGTGTGTCCTGGGATTCACGTGTGTTCCCTGGCCCTCACATGTGTTCCCTGGCCCTCACATGTGTTCCCTGGCCCTCGCGTGTGTTCCCTGACCCGGCACGTGTGTTCCCTGACCCTCACGTGTGTTCCCAGACCCTCATGTGTGTTCCCTGGCCCTCACATGTGTTCCCTGGCCCTCGCGTGTGTTCCCTGGCCCTCGCGTGTGTTCCCTGACCCGGCACGTGTGTTCCCTGACCCGGCACGTGTGTTCCCTGACCCCTCACGTGTGTTCCCTGGCCCTCATGTGTGTTCCCTGGCCCTCGCGTGTGTTCCATGGCCCTCATGTGTGTTCCCTGGCCCTCACGTGTGTTCCCTGGCCCTCATGTGTGTTCCCTGGGCCTCACGTGTGTTCCCTGGCCCCTCATGTGTGTTCCCTGGGCCTCACGTGTGTTCCCTGGCCCGTCATGTGTGTTCCCAGGCCTTAATGTGTGTTCCCTGGGCCTCACGTGTGTTCCCTGGCCCTCATGTGTGTTCCCTGGGCCTCACGTGTGTTCCCTGGCCCTCACGTGTGTTCCCTGGCCCTCACGTGTGTTCCCTGGCCCTCACGTGTGTTCCCTGGGCCTCATGTGTGTTCCTTGCCCCTCACGTGTGTTCCCTAGGCCTCACGTGTGTTCCCTGGCCCATCACGTGTGTTCCCTGGCCCTCACGTGTGTTCCCTGGGCCTCACGTGTGTTCCCTGGCACTCACGTGTGTTCCCTGGCTCTCACGTGTGTTCCCTGGCCCGTCACGTGTGTTTTCTGGCCCTCACGTGTGTTCCCTGGCCCTCATGTGTGTTCCCTGGGCCTCACGTGTGTTCCCTGGCCCCTCATGTGTGTTCCCTGGGCCTCACGTGTGTTCCCTGGCCCTCACGTGTGTTCCCTGGCCCTCACGTGTGTTCCCTGGCCCTCACGTGTGTTCCCAGGCCCTCACGTGTGTTCCCTGGCCCTCGTGTGTGTTCACTGGCCCTCATGTGTGTTCCCTGACCCGTCACGTGTGTTCCCTGGCCCTCATGTGTGTTACCTGGCCCTCGTGTGTGTTCCCTGGCCCTCACGTGTGTTCCCTGTCCCTCACGTGTGTTCCCTGGCCCTCACGTGTGTTCCCTGGCCCTCACGTGTGTTCCCTGGCCCTCACGTGTGTTCCCTGGCCCTCACGTGTGTTCCCTAGCCCTCATGTGTGTTTCCAGGCCCTCACGTGTATTCCCTGGCCCTCGTGTGTGTTCACTGGCCCTCATGTGTGTTCCCTGACCCGTCACGCGTGTTCCCTGGCCCTCATGTGTGTTCCCTGGCCCTCACGTGTATTCCCTGGCCCTCGTGTGTGTTCCCTGGCCCTCATGTGTGTTCCCTGGCCCTCGTGTGTGTTCCCTGGCCTTCGTGTGTGTTCCCTGGCCCTCGTGTGTGTTCCCTGGCCCTCGTGTGTGTTCCCTGGCCCTCACGTGTGTTCTCTGACCCGTCACGTGTGTTCCCTGGCCCTCACGTGTGTTCCCTGGCCCTCACGTGTGTTCCCTGGCCCTCACGTGTGTTCCCTGGCCCTCATGTGTGTTCCCTGGCCCTCATGTGTGTTCTCTGACCCGTCACGTGTGTTCCCTGGCCCTCACGTGTGTTCCCTGGCCCTCACGTGTGTTCCCTGGCCCTCGTGTGTGTTCCCTGGCCCTCGTGTGTGTTCCCTGGCCCTCATGTGTGTTCTCTGACCCGTCACGTGTGTTCCCTGGCCCTCACGTGTGTTCCCTGGCCCTCACGTGTGTTCCCTGGCCCTCATGTGTGTTCCCTGGCCCTTATGTGTGTTCTCTGACCAGTCACGTGTGTTCCCTGGCCCTCACGTGTGTTCCCTGGCCCTCACGTGTGTTCCCTGGCCCTCGTGTGTGTTCCCTGGCCCTAGTGTGTGTTCCCTGACCCGTGACGTGTGTTCCCTGGCCCTCGTGTGTGTTCCCTGGCCCTCATGTGTGTTCCCTGACCCGTGACGTGTGTTCCCTGTCCCTCATGTGTGTTCCCTGGCCCTCATGTGTGTTCCCTGGCCCTCGTGTGTGTTCCCTGGCCCTCGTGTGTGTTCTCTGACCCGTCACGTGTGTTCGCTGGCCCTCACGTGTGTTCCCTGGCGCTCACGTGTGTTCCCAGACCCTCATGTGTGTTCCCTGGCCCTCGTGTGTGTTCCCTGGCCATCATGTGTGATCCCTGGCCCTCACGTGTGTTCCCTGGCCCTCACGTGTGTTCCCTGACCCGGCACGTGTGTTCCCTGACCCGGCACGTGTGTCCCCTGGCCCTCACGTGTGTTCCCAGACCCTCACGTGTGTTCCCTGGCCCTCATGTGTGTTCCCTGGCCCTCGTGTGTGGTCCCTGGCCCTCATGTGTGTTCTCTGACCCGTCACGCGTGTTCCCTGGCCCTCACGTGTGTCCTGGGATTCACGTGTGTTCCCTGGCCCTCACATGTGTTCCCTGGCCCTCACATGTGTTCCCTGGCCCTCGCGTGTGTTCCCTGACCCGGCACGTGTGTTCCCTGACCCTCACGTGTGTTCCCAGACCCTCATGAGTGTTCCCTGGCCCTCACATGTGTCCTGGGATTCACGTGTGTTCCCTGGCCCTCACATGTGTTCCCTGGCCCTCGCGTGTGTTCCCTGGCCCTCACGTGTGTTCCCTGACCCGGCACGTGTGTTCCCTGACCCGGCACGTGTGTTCCCTGACCCCTCACGTGTGTTCCCTGGCCCTCATGTGTGTTCCCTGGCCCTCGCGTGTGTTCCATGGCCCTCATGTGTGTTCCCTGGCCCTCACGTGTGTTCCCTGGCCCTCATGTGTGTTCCCTGGGCCTCACGTGTGTTCCCTGGCCCCTCATGTGTGTTCCCTGGGCCTCACGTGTGTTCCCTGGCCCGTCATGTGTGTTCCCAGGCCTTAATGTGTGTTCCCTGGGCCTCACGTGTGTTCCCTGGCCCTCATGTGTGTTCCCTGGGCCTCACGTGTGTTCCCTGGCCCTCATGTGTGTTCCCTGGGCCTCACGTGTGTTCCCTGGCCCTCATGTGTGTTCCCTGGCCCTCATGTGTGTTCCTTGGCCCTCACGTGTGTTCCCTAGGCCTCACGTGTGTTCCCTGGCCCATCACGTGTGTTCCCTGGCCCTCATGTTTG